GAGCTAAACGAGGAAATCAGTTTGTAAACAACAACGAGCTAAACGAGTAAATCAGTTTGTAAACAACAACGAGCTAAACGAGGAAATCAGTTTGTAAACGACAACGAGCTAAACGAGGAAATCAGTTTGTAAACGACAACGAGCTAAACGAGGAAATCAGTTTGTAAACAACAACGAGCTAAAGGAGGAAATCAGTTTGTAAACAACGAGCTAAACGAACTGGTTCTGACTCCTTGAGTTCCAACTTCAAATCCAAACTGCCAACTTGAAACGGTTTAAATCAGATTAAATGAAACTGGTTTAGACAGAGGTCTCAGTCAGAGACCCCGACGCTCAGGAGGGAGGGGAGGGAGGGAGATCTGCCCGTGAGCTTCTTGTGAACACCCACTCCTTCAAACAGAATCCAGGTCCAGTCGATGGATTAGTGGAACACAAACTGCTTCAGGATCAGTTTTACAGTTTGTATAACTTTATTTACAAAGAACAGAGTCCCCGTGGTCGGACAGTGGAAAGTTACAGCTGAAGGAAATCACAAGTTTATGATATAAATAGTCCAGAACAAATCGTGAGAAGCTTGAAAGAGAAAACGTACAGAGCGTCAGTTTTCAGCCAGCGAGCGGCGGCTCAGCCCGGCTTCCATCTTTGATTCTCACACGATGAACTTCCTGTTTCTGCTCCGCCTGGCGGGAAGTCTGAACATTTCTGTGGACGACGTGCGAACGTTTCCTTTGGTGAGCGAAGCTTTAAGGCGACGGCTTCAAGGTTTCGTTTTTGTTTCAGCAACTTTCTGACGTTCGCTCTTTGGTTCCGACAAGTTCACAAGAAAAAGGGTTTTAAGAGTCGAGACGCGTCTCAGAGCGAACTGAGCGTGTTGCAAAGAACGAGAGACGTTTTTAAACCGACGTCTGCTTTTCATTTAGAAATCAGCTTAAAGAGAATTCCTGTCCAACAACGAGTCGACAGCTGCATCGTTTCAGACACGGGGATTAATCCACGAGACCGGTTCACCCGGTGGGACCGGACCAGAATCTGACCTGCCACACCACACGTCGGCGTGAGGTCAGAAAACGGTTAAATTTCATAAAGGAGGAAAACACAAAGAAATCTGAGTCCAACGATAAATCCAGATTAGTAAAATAATAATTCACTAATAAGAGCAGATTATCAAGTGCTGACTTTTCATAAATTGTTGTTTTGGTTTTTCTCGTGGTTTAAATCTGATGAACCGGCTCGTTTATTTATTGTTTGTTTATTTGTTTACTTACTGGATGAGTTATCGGCGGGTCAGTCGGAATACGTTTTTAAAAATCTACTTTAAAGAACGTTTTCTTGTTTGTGCACGTGTGTTTGCGCACGTGTTGGCGTCGCGCTCGGCTGCAAAACTGAAAACGGGAAATTTAACAGATTTGAGCGACGTGCACGGCGACGCGCACGGCTGTGGTCTGAGCAGCCACAGCTTAAGTTCGGGTGTGACCTGTGAATCAGTGTTTCAGGCCGTGCACTTTATTCTGCCGTGCACGTTTGAGCTAAGTTGCTGGAGTCCTTGTTAGAAACGAAGTCGGACCGATCTGAGAGAATTTGTTTATTTTGAACGTGTTCAAACGGAACCACGGAGAACTTCGGAGAACGTGGGAGAACCACGGAGAACTTCGGAGAACGTGGGAGAACCACGGAGAACTTCGGAGAACTTCGGAGAACGTCCCGGCGTTCGGGCGTGCGTCGTCCACAGCTCGGCGACACGTTGTCGAAGACGTGACGAACGTTCGGTTTCCGTCCTGAGCGAGCGCCTCGTGACGTTTCTGTCTCAGGACCAAACCTAACGTTGGACCGGACCGTGTGGAACCAGAACCAGCCACCGGGGGCGCTGCGGCCCGGTTCCAGATTTCTGCCTGAAGCGTTCTGGAGATTAGAGTTGATATTTTAAACATTTTAATTTCATATAAAAGAAAATATTTCCACGCAGAGGAAAGTAAACGATGACTCGGCCGTTTGTTTTTCAGGATTACGTTTAAAGAATTTTTCTATTAAATATTTAAATGACGCCGTGAATCCAAGTCCAACGGTAAATCTCAGAACCGGGTGCTGGAATGATGCGGATTTAGATTTGGTAGCATCGGATTTGGACCCAGACACCTCGAGCCAGAACCGTGGTTCTGGTTTTAGGAATGTTTGGGGTTGACGTTAATTTTGGACTTATTGTCGGAACGTTTTAAATCTCAGACTAAACCTGGAGAACCTTTTCCTGAGTCGGACCCGAGCATCATTCGGACCAGCTGGTGCTCTCTGAGGAACCAGGTGGTCCGGGTTCTGAAGGAGTTCTTCACGAGGTTCTTTTGAAACAGTTTTCTAGTTTGTCCCAGTTTGAGCCTTTTAACAATGACCAACAGCTGGTTCTGGCCCAAGGACCGGTTCCAGCAGAAAGGATGACCTATGAATGGTGTCAAGAGTTTTCGCGAGACCCGATTGGGAGCCGAAGACGGTTCTAATGTGGACCGGCACCGGTCCAGCTGGAGTTCAGGCTCAGGACGGTTTAAAAGTCCAGATTGAATTTAAAAAGTCAACTGTTGAGATTTTATATCAAACTGGACCCGTTTGTCTCGGTGTGGACGTGACCCGGTTCTGGTCCAGACTGGACTCAGTCAGGTTCTGTTAAACCCGTGTTCCGAGCTGTAAATGAGTCCAAATCTGAGTCTGCTGTTTATTTAGGTGGTTTTGAATTTGTATAAGTTTTTGGTGGATCTGGACCAACAGAAGTCCGGACCTTTGGGGCCGGGTTCTGTTCTGGTGATAGGACTGCAGCGGCTCGGTTCTGATCTGAGAAAGTGAGGCGGGCTGAGGTTTAAATATGGACCTCAGAGCAGTTTAATCTGGATTTGGGTTTTGTTTGGATACAGTTTAGATTAAAGCAGGTCCAGAACTGGATTATCAAATACTGATCTGGATTAGAGGCGGGCCCTGAAGACCACCTGGACCAGGTTTACGGTACATGAAGGCGGATGGATGATGTGTGTTCTGGGTCCTGAACGGACTCGACTAAAGGTGTTTGGACCGAGCCGGAGTTGCGTGTGATCCAGTTCGGGGTGGCAGACCCGGTCTGTGTTTGTCCATCGGTTGGCCGTTCCGAGGCGCTGCGGTTAGCGGTTAGCAGCTACAGCTAGCAGCTGCAGCCTTCTTTAGCTGGCTGGGCATCGGCATTGAGGCGCCCGCCCTGCGGCGCCGACGGTTTGTGCTGGACTCCGGACTCTGCGGCGTTCAGGTCCAAACTGCCGTCCTGAATGTTCTGGTAGATCTTCTTTGCTGCTTCTAGGAAGGCCTCTTCCACGTTCTCCCCTCTGGAGGAGGAGGAGATCACCATCATCATCACCATCATCATCATCATCATCATCAGAAACTGTTTAGACGTCGAAACGTTCGGCTCATTCAGGAAAAACGTGAAAAGACTTTTTCATTTTTATACTTTTCATCAAAATGCCCAAAGAAATTCACAGAGACCTGAACGTCAAGATAAACATTGTAAATCATTTTAGCTTCTGTTCTGCTAACTTTAGCTTCTGTTCTGCTACCTTTAGCTTCTGTTCTGCTACCTTTAGCTTCTG